GGTCTCGTCCCAACAGCCCCAATATTCTGGTCCGTATCTAAGCATCCTTAGAAGATTGCAGGTTGCATAAGAGGATCAAAGACCCAAATTGGTGACTTCAGCTTGAATTTTCGACACTCTCGCTTCGTTGTTGCGGCACGGGCAATGAGAATGTCGCTGTCTCTTTCGCACTGCTTCAGAAATTGTATCGACTGTTAAAAAGCGATGACTAATCACCGAACATTTCCGAAAGACGGAAAACCGTTTCGTCAAAACTGAAATCTTGAGCGGTCTTGGGCAATATGTAATGGATGAAACTGTCGTCCTACATAGTTCCGAGTTTACGCAACAATAGTCGCACTTTCGTTGCATCGTCAGGCTTTGCCAGTTCCGCCCTGAAAATATCGTCATAATGTCTGAAACATGCATCGAAAATCAGCCCTGAAGCGGGATCAAAAACAAACTCACTGACACTGTTGACTATTGCATCGACTGAAGGCTTCCCAGCATTGTGGACGGCAGTAGACTACAGCGACCGTGTTCAGTTGAAGGTCTCGATCATTCGTGGGTGTGTGGCCTCGAGCTGCTGCTTCTGTTGTAGCAAAATAGCTTTCATATTTTCTGCTGAGATAGACATCTTGATGAAGTTTACCTCCGCCGCCAGAAATTTGTCATGCCGCCTCGTCTGGTCCACCCATGACGAAATGAGAACACCAAAGACGCGCGTAAAACTAATCGGGATGGAATAAATCGACTGCAGGTACTTAAAACGTGCGATCCAGCGTAGCTCACTGGGTCAAGGAGGTAGGCAAACTATTGCACCACGTTAGGCTTCAGTCTCGTCGCATAGAGTCATCTGGAAAAAAAGAATGCCCCGGTAATCTCCACAAGGCATGACAACTTACCACCGCCGGTCAAATGCAACCCCATCCAATCTTCAAACTGTGTCAGATACAACGACAAAGTCTGGCACTGGTAAATCCGCTGTAATTAGGTGGCGATTGGAGAGAGTGGTCGGGTCCCGGTATCTTGCTTCGACTAACAAATACAAGATGGTTAGGGGGGTTATCGTGTTTCTGAGAAGATTCTTTGTAGCTAAACACAGTGAAAAAGCCCTCACATGCAGAAAAGAGCTAGATAATCATTTCTTCCTGTTGGAACTCATCAGTAGCGTGCATCCGCCGGATCATGACGGACAGCAGCTCTGGTATCAGTCCTGTTCTCTGAGCTTCCATAACATGCATGACAGTGGAAGATGAGCCGCGCTACATCGCAGCTAGATACCAGTCGTGGCGGTCCACTGCCGTTGCCCATGGCTCAATGGCATAAGTTGTTGGCCAGCAAGTGTAAGGTCATGAGGTCATATCCGGCAGGATAGGGCGGGTGCACGGTACTGACGAGTCCCAAAAGGACGAAACGGCCGTTTAGCGCTTTCTCGGATATATGATGGCTGTCTGGCTGAGTGTAGCCGCGACAAAGCTATTCGAAAAAACCATCGTGTACTCGATCTCATCGATCTCTTGGATGGTGATTTCAACGACCCAAGTGAGGTGGGCTGACTCAGCATATAGGTATAACGACGGTCCCAATCGCGTTCGGGCAAGCATGCAAATTGACGAGGCTGTGACTGAGTGCCCTGTGTGCGCAGCTATTGTCTCAATCACTGGTGATCAACCTAAGCCCACGCAATGGAAAATTTTAGACAGCGTACAGAGCTAGGTGTTTACGTACACAAACTGTTAAGGAAGTGAAGCATAACAGAACTAACTCAGCAAAACAAGTTTTACGAGACGTTGCTATTCACCATTTAGGAGGATCTGTCGAGTCACTGTGTTTTCGGTTGGCGTACACAAATGTCCAAATGAGCTGCATACCGCATAAAGGGGGAGATAATTTGTAACAGTGAGCTCTTGTAAACCACCGTTGTTGCGAAACGGTCCGTCAGGCTGCACATATGTTGCAGATGTTAGACATCTAACTGTATCTTACCACGCTTCAAGTCGAAGCAAAAGAAAAAAGGCACTAGAAGTACGTCGGTACACAGTAACGACGCTTCACTGCTGCGAAACGACCAACAGTCGTAAGTGGGCTTAGGATACTACTGCGAGGGTTGCCCGGTTCCCACGTAGACTAGAACCGCCGCTCTTAGATGACAAGACATAGTTTTGATCTTTAAGGCTACGGGCTACAGGTAATGTCTAATCAGATGACTTTGATATCTTACTGGATTTCGCGCAACAGACTATCGACTAACTGATCTTTACTACAAGATCGCTTATCGAAGCTGATGGTATTATCATACACAATGGGTCAGATTATTGTGTTGATCGTCCAAATCCACGGAACTGATGGCTCGAGGTGATCTGTAACATTGGAATACGAAATTCCTAAATATGAAAACGGGACATCCTCTAAAGCGCATCCATGCAGTATGGACAGGAACGTCAACATTTCGACGTCGGCATCCACAATGCCCGCATTTGGAAGGGGAGGGTATTTGCAAATTCACAAATATTGTCTTCAGAGTACGCTACGAGAAGAACGGAGATAGAAGTTTTCCGGAAGCTAGGCTATTCCGATACTTGCCAAGGAAGCTAATAGGCTGCTTGGAAATAAATTCTATTCAAAAGCGCCTCTGCAATCATCAGCCTGCTGAAAAGCCTCTCGCATGCTTAAGCGGACAGACCGGATTTCGATGATGAAGTATGGAAACAGACATGCCAAGCGAACATGTTTCCTTGGATGTACTTAGAACCGATCGATGAGTCAAAATACTCCTAATAAGATCGAGTGAACTAGTTCATAGCTGGCAAGCATTCCACGACCAAGTGCGCACCATAAGACCACTAGTTTTACTGACAGACCCGGTATGGAGGCAATTACAGCATTGTAGTCAATACGTCAGAAAGCATATGAAACGAAATGGGATGTATACCGCCAAAAAATGGCATCCCTTTACAACCATCAAGTATAAGAATGACGTAGAAAAGTGGGTTCCCAGTCCTGAAAACACCACAACGAAGAACTCGATGCAATGGTTGAGAATACAAAGTATTAACAAAGGATTCGTGCGTGGCGAGGCAGGTGTTAGACATGAGGAATGATGTTCACTTAGACATCGAGATCACTATGTGAAGTTTGTGAGTAACAAAGGGGGGCTGATTGCGCAGTTGGTGTAAATCGGCAAAGCCAAACACCCGTGTTAGTAGATTGGGCGGGTTAATTTCTCTATTGCGTGGTGACGAGCGTTGACGTGTGATTCCCACCATGCATTATCTGTCAACGTGGTGTACAACGAACTTGCAATCTGAAACACTCCCCTTGTGACTGTACTATTAAAAGTGATACCCAGACTAGTAATAACCTTGGGATTCACATGCCTATATCGTGAGTGCCACTCCAATCTGCAACCAAAACTCGCAGTGATGATTACGCAAGGACCAGACAAAGCTTAGAAACGCAAAACGTCACTCAGTAAATGTATGAACCTAGGTAAAGCTTTTACAATGAATCAGGGATGGAAAAATAATTCTCTAAAATGAAAGATGGATCGGAAAACAGATAACTGACAACTGTATCGACCTGGTTCACATGTAGGAAAGCGAAGATTAATAGCTGTTTTAAGTGAGTGTTGTAACGGTAGTTTTAAAGCAACGCGCGCGCCGAGCAAGATGCATAGGCGAATTCATCACTACAGGCCGAGGTAACGGTGACATGTGCACCAATCGAATGGATCTGTAAGCATGCATAATGCGTTTCAATACTAGAAAGTATCAACCGTCAACAACAACAATAAAGTAGTCAGTAAGAATAGTCGTGTGTAGGGGGACAAAGTCAAAAATAACTGGAGCGGACATGTACAAATGGCCGAAGTGGATTCATCATGATGATCAGATGATTGAAGCCAACCAAAACCCTCTCTCTGAGACTGTACTATGCATACCTGTAGGCGACAGAGCGCATCGTGAACAAGAAGAAAAAAGGGGCCTCCCTGCCACGTGCAATAGCAAGCAATTGCATGCAAGCGGTATTGCTGTAGGGACGAAAGCCATGTATGAGCGGGAAGTCGAACGAAGAACAACAAATTTGGGAACCAAACGTCTGAAGACCACGGACCCTCTAACGACAAATTGGTGCACATTATCATAGTTTTGGATCGAAAACCGATGTTCAACAACCAGTATCGTCGCAGAACGGACACCACAAAGTATGACAAATGAGTTGTCATGGACCACAAATCTTAGCAGGCAAGGGAGTACAGACAGAGCCCTCAGTGTGGCAGATCTTACTGGCTGAGTGGATCGTCGAACAGGACAAAACGAGGAACTAAGTGGCACACTTGAACTTTAAAGACATACCTTTCTATGACTGCTGATAACTTGTTTAATTCAAACGCACTTTTAAAATTGTTTTCACCAAATATGGAGAAAACCGCCACAGACGTAGGATGGAGCCAGTGGAAGTAATAAGAAGTATGGATGGCTTGCATTCTGGGTCACATGCGAAAAATGAAAGCTGTAAAAACAGTACTCATCAAAAAATGCCACGAACTTCGGTATTATTAGAGCCAACAAAACATCAAAGACGCTGAAGTCTGAACACAAGTTGGTCCAGAAGCGATAGGTTGTATACTGGTTTGCGTCATTAAAGAGTACAACTACCGGATTAGGTTTTCAAATTAACTGGTTTAGGAGAAAAAAGTGAAGGATCAGGTCAAAGAAATGGAGTTCTATCTTCACCAAAACTCATTCTTCACTTAAATAAAATGGAACTCCAATTACAATTAGTGGAAACCTTACAGCCCTTGTGCAGTTCTTACACAAGCAGATGGATGTTAAGCTGTCCCAGCGCTGAACAACTATCAAGAATATTTGCATCTTTGGAGTCATAAGAAGTCGGACGATAATGTGAAAACTGCGTCACTTTAAAAATTTAATCTATTTCGCAAGGTAAATGGGGAAACCCTTAAACCTGTAAAGAGGAAAAATCTCATGCGGTGCGGATATAATTCATCAACTTACCATGCTAGCGGGTGTGAATCGCCTAAGATAAATCCCTGGAAATACAGTCTCCGGTGACTGAATTGTCATATTTTTCCTGAACATAAATTCTGAAATCTTCGTCATATCTGCGGACGGTTCGACCAAATAATGTTCCCTAATGCATCCAACTGGCCAAACGGAGTTTGCAGCCCTGCACAGGTACATAGATGGTCGATGGAATCAACCGGTGGAGAAAAAGACAACTGCCAGAGCGTACAATGCCATTTAGTGGCAGAACTGCAGTAGTGCGCAAAAGTAGTTAGAAAACGTGAACAAAGTATAATGAACACTAGTATGAAAATTCGCTAGGCCGGGAGATCAAACTTGGCGGATATGACAATGTCAATAAAGATGGCTTTGAAAGTCTCTAGCTCAAGACAAAGTTACAGTGACCGGTGTTGTATAAAATGCCTAAGCAGTGGAATGTGAAACACCACAGGACGGCAACACATTCAATGGGGTGAAAGGATGAGATAACCATCCGAAAAATGGGACAGAAAAGAGTATCAGGTAGACAAAGCAAGCGCGAACCTACTGACTTGTGAATATAGTTCCGATATGAAAACTGCAGGATAGTTTAGGCTCCCGGTGAATTCTAAACATATCAATGAGGTGGAGAAACGCAAA